GAGATGCACAGCCTGCGCACCGACGCGCTCTACCGCCTCTCGCTGGCCCAGCACCTGCGGCACCGCGTCTTCTGGCTGCCGCACAACATGGACTTCCGCGGCCGCACCTACCCCTGTCCCCCCCACTTCAACCACCTGGGCAGCGACCTGGCGCGCGCCCTGCTGGAGTTTGCCGAGGGCCGCCCGCTGGGCCCCCACGGCCTCGACTGGCTCAAGATCCACCTGGTCAACCTCACTGGGCTCAAGAAGCGAGAGTCGCTGCAGGCACGCCTGGCCTTCGCGGAGGAGGTGATGCCGGACATCCTGGACTCCGCCGACCGGCCCATGACGGTAGGGGCGGGGCCCTTTTCCGTCTGCCTGTCCCTTCCGGCCTGTCCCCTGCTCTGGTTCCATCCACTCTGAGTTCGGCCACCGCTCGGGACCCTTACAGGTAGCCCGCTCTCCAGGCCAGCGCGGCCTCACTCTCCAGAGCCTTCCCCCTCAAACTCCTTTTTCTTCTGCCCTTTTTCTCTGTCCTGGTCCCCTCCCGCAGCTCTGCCTCCTCCGACCCCACCGCAACCCGTGGCCGCTTCCTCAGGGCTGGCCAAATGTCCCTCCCTAGCCCATCACTCCGGTCCCCCCCTCCCTGTGTCCTCACATCACCTGGGCTGGCCCGGCTCCCATCCGTGCCCAGGAAGCCTCGTCCCACTCTGACCCCAGCAGGCTGGGGACCAGGCCCAGCCTCGCCCAGCACACACATCCTCCTCCAGGGCCGGAAGTGGTGGATGGAGGCCGATGAGCCTTGGCAGGCCCTGGCCTGCTGCATGGAGATTGCTCGGGCCGTGCGTGCCCCCGACCCCGCTGCCCACATCTCCCACTTCCCCGTTCACCAGGTGAGCTGGGGGGCCCTGCATTGGGGGTGGGGCTGTCTAAAGGTGTCTTGGGGGCGGGATTCTGCAGGACGCTGGGTATTTAGCTGGTGTCCCTGCGTGGAGGCCAGTCCCAGTGGGTTCAGTTGGCCTTGACGTGTGGTCTCACATGGGCACATCTGCCTCGTGTACCTCAGCTTCCTCCATGTGGCGAGTCACAATGTTTGCCTTCACCCTCGGGGTCCAGTGAGGTGGTGCTGTGAGCAGGGTGCCGGGGAGGCCCGGAGCCATGGCTCGTGGCCCGAGATGTCCCCGGCAGCCCTTCCCAGACCCCTCACTGTCTCCTCTGCCTCCCAGGATGGCTCCTGCAATGGCCTGCAGCACTATGCCGCCCTGGGCCGGGACAGTGTGGGCGCTGCTTCCGTCAACCTGGTGCCCTCGGACCTGCCGCAGGACGTGTACAGTGGGGTGGCCACACAGGTGGGTGCCACGCACCCTCAACCTGTTCTCATCCTCGGAGCCCACCTGGTGTCTGTCCTTTGCCCACTTGGGTGATGCTAACCCCACAGCCATAACCTCAGCTGTCACATGTGATGTGATTGGGCAGTCAGGGTGGGCCTCCCGGGCAGGTGTCAGCCAGCTCTGTGAGACCTCTGCAGGAGGTGTGGCCTC